ATTAAACTTGTAAATTCAGCAAACCATCAAGTCCATTTGCTATTACTTGAACTTCACTTGGAATATACGATTATCTAAATAGTAAAACTAATACTAATAAAAATGATAATTGTAAAATTAACTATTATTATTAGTGTTTTTGTGAGATTATTATTAGTGTTAGTGTTAGTGTTATCAATATTGGGATTTGTGTCACTATTAGTATTAATTTACTATAACTATTATCATTAGTATTAACATTAATTTTAATATTGGTATAACTATTACTATCATAACTGTTATTATCATGGGCGTAGGTAGGGAGGGGCAACCCCAGCCCAGCACAAATTTAAAAAATGTCTAAAAATTTTAGTGTAAAAAAATTCGTGTAATGTTTTTTTCAAAAATATTCTTTGTATCAGTCCAGTCTGGCCCAGTGCCCTGGCACTGCCCTGGTACTTATTATTATATTATCATTCAACTAATTTTTTCAATTCTAACTTTTGTGTAATATGTAAATTTATAATGCTCTTATTTAGGACTCTTAAAATCTACTTTTACTGGAAGTTAGAAGAATATGATGTTCTTATATTATATAATACGTCTTCCCGACAAGATTGTCTCATATTTATTTTTGATTTGTTTCACTAAGATTGTTTCAGATTAACTAAAATTACATTCGTGTGGCTTCTAAATCGTTCTTACATTGGTCTCACTTTATCACTTCAGTATCAATCGCACACGATTACTTTTTTCAGTAACCGCGTCACGTCCTCTTGTACAAATACTACGGGACAGAGGTAGTATAACACTATTACTTAATAACTTTACATACTTGAAATTAGCTCTACGAAAGTAAAAATGGATGATAAAAACTCGAAATGATTCCACGTTTATGACTAAAAAAAGACTTTACAAAAATATGATTAATGACTAGAGTAGTAAAAGAATTATAGTAACTTATATTTAACTTTTAAACGTAAGTTACAATGACATGTACTACATTGTAGTTAATATTAGTCATTTTTGTGTAAATGAGTTCTGTTTTAGTAATATTTTTGGGAAAAAACTCTAAAAACTCAAAACGCCTTTTCACGCCTAAGCCTCGCCTAAGCCCGCCTAGGCTTCAAAGGCTTAAGGCTTGGTCCGGCCGCCTTGACACGCCTTACGCCTTTTAGAACATTGCCTGCGAGAGGGCTATGGTGCAAATTGGTGGTCTTTATTTCAGAGTATTTTGGGGGATTTTGAGAATTTGTTGTCATTATTATTAGCCATAAAGTTGGAAGTAATTACAAGTTTACCTAGAAGCTATTAGAAGCTGGGTACTCTAGCTTTTAGATTTTGACTTTAAAGTACTTTTTTTAAGCCAAAGTTGAAATTAGCAAACATTTATTTTGGCTTTTTTTAACCTAAAAGCTAGGAATCCCTTTTTTAAAGCAAACAAAAACACTGCTGGAGTAGCGGTCTTTTGAAATTCATTTCGAATAGTATCAGTTAACATGGGAACAAGGAACGTGTATTGTAATATGGATAGATCGAGGGAACGATTGACCGCATTATAGTGTATGATCCTATGAGGGTTGGCTTGACATGTTCCAAGGAGCAAAAGCTTGCTCTTAATTAAGAAGGGCCGACTAGTGACCATCTGATGCTCTTCATTCTGATTTGTTTTAGTGCATAAAGGCGCAAGATAAGGTTTTTCAAATTAAAAAATGTTGGGTAACGGAGGCTGTGGAGGATTGGCTTCTAGGAGCTAGGGAGTGAATGCTCAAAACACCTATAAGGGAGTGTTTGCAATAGCTTAAAAAAAGCACTTCTCATCTTTTGGCTTAAAAAATCACTTATTTACCAAACACTTCCAATTTTTACTTTTTCTCGGCTTGCGTGTGAAAAGTGCTTTTCCCTTTTCTATTACACAAAAAGCACTTATTTTACCAAACACTATCAACTTTTACTTTTCAAAATCACTTTTTTCTCAAACACTATCAACTTTTACTACTAATCACTTTTTCATTACATCTCCAAAAGTGCTTTTTTTAAGCACGAGCAGTTGCAAACACTCCCTGAGAGGAAGAGGAATTTTAAAATAGGGTCCATGCTAGAATAGGCCTTTCTGACCTAGAGGTCGTGAGGTTCTAGAGTGTCAGAATGAGTCTCAAGAGAAGTGCTAAAAGCTGAGAACAAAATGATGATAAGAATAACCATATACAGGAATTAATATTATACATACTGGGGCGTTCAGAGTTACTGGATTCGATAGGTTGCTGAAAGAGCATATGGGAGTTAGGCTTTCCATTTTTCCAAAAATATTCATTAGATGGTGAATACTCTGATTTATTTGTAAATTTATTGGTCTTGATTGCATCCCAGCTTCAAATTTTCCTCTTAGCTGGATTCATACTCAACCCTCTAACAAAATGTAGGAAGAATTGGTATAAAAGAAATTAGTTTGACAATGTAATAGCTTGTTACACGGTCTTGCCTTGCTGGCTCCTACCATTACTTTTCTGTTGCTTGTTTGCTTACTAAGTACATAGTTCATTTCTAAAAAATTGGAATAAAGAGGAATACCAGAGGTAAACAATAGTTTCGTTTTCTCTATAGGTCACATGTGTTCTTTTCATTACGAGAGTGACGTATGCTCAAGTACGTGAAAATGTCACACATATAACATATTGTGTTAGAATTTGTTACACCATTGCATGCAATGTCGATGAAGTGGATCAATTATGTAAATTATATCGTTCGTAACATTTTTATTTTGAAAGAGCAATATATTTATCTATAAAATGTAAAAGAAATTGAAAACACTTCCTGTGGAACATTTTGAAAAAAATGACATTATATCAAACACCTTAAAAAATAATTTAACTTTTAAAAATAATGAAATGAATGTAAAATTGCATAAGAACAACAATTTAACAAATCGATAAAAATGCAAGAGTTGCACACATGATACTAGATAAGCCATGAAGAGTGACACAAAATCTTTATTTTATTTTTTTTGCTGACACAAAAACCTTATTAAGAGACATGAAAATTCTGTTTTTAGATCCAGAGAGAATATGGTAAACACATTTTCAAAATAGGAAATGAAATGAAGAAGAACATAAGATCTACCTCCAGTTTTTTTTAATCTTCACAGTTTGACTTCACACAAAATAAGGAAAGAAATTTGACTTTACTGCAGAGTACACTGTTGAGGCACTGTTTGACACTCTTTGGCATCGTAGAGACACTGTTTGGCACTGTTGAGACACTGTTTGACACTGTTTTGATGTAGATTTCTTTGCCAAAAAAGGAAATAAGGAAGTGTGAAGTTTATTTTAGACCGTCCCAAAAAGGAAAGTGTGAAGTTTATTAAAAACTGGAGGGAGAATAATATATCAACTCAATTGGGACGAGACTAAAATATACAAAAGTACAAAAAGATGAAATTACTCCAAGTAGCCGTAAGAGTAAACATGATCAACACAAAAATATGACTAAATGTTTAAATCGTAAAATAGGAGTAAGATGTATCATCTTTCATAAATACATTAAAATGATAACTCGGTTGTGGATGATAAATACATACACGTGTTTCGTCGCGTTATGAAAAACACATTAATAATAATTCTAGGATCTCAAAGTCGATCTTTGATGCACTCTGATAGTAATCGAGAATTCGGTAGTCCACCCTAGTACCCTACACTAGTAGGAACACTAGTAATACAACCTTGATACATATCCATGATGATGCTGATATACTTACCTAATGTCTTTTCCTAGTTAAGGTCTTCTAATTAATTAAGTTATTAAGGTTTGCCAAAGAACTTCTCATGGTACTCTATCATATGCCCTTATTAAGTTAATGAACACTAAATGCAAATCTTTGTTAATGTATCTATAATTTTACAAGTTGCCTAAGAAGGTAAATTAATGACATCACTTCATAATTTTATGTAATGCTTCAACCGGCTATATTATTCAAATTTCCAACCGAAAATTCCTATGAGATGACCAGGATTCCATGCAATTTGGGTGTATTAATACTCCCTTAAATCTTATTAAAAGAAATGTATGAATTGTTCTAACAAAGAATGACACATATACAAGTATAACACTTTGTGATGACAAAAGGTATGACTAGTTTTCCTTCAAAGAAATGAGTAAAACTAACTGGTTTTTTCATGACCCAAATCTATTCAAAATTCTTCTCCATCCCAATTCCAATGCCAACTCAATCCCCCCCCCCCCCGCCAACTCAATCCCCCCCCCCTCCTTGCTACCCTCTGCCCTCAGCCACTCCTGGGAGAAAGGTTCATATTTTCCCTTAAATAGATTGTTGGAAATCAATGGAAAATGTCCATAGATTATGTAGTTGTCAGGTGCGTATACAAAGGCGGCAGGGGGTCAGTTGCCCCCCACAACCAATTCCCGAGGTTGATGAAATGCGACACAAATGACAAAAAAAGACCGTTTATCCCGCAAATGGGATAATATACTCCCTCCGTTTCTAAAAGAACCTCACACTTTCCTTTTTTGGATGTGCCAAAATAAAAGTCATACTTCCCTTATTTCCTTATTTGGCAAAGAAATCTACATCTAAACAGTGCCAAACAGTGTCAAACAGTGTCAAAACAGTGCCAAACAGTGTCTAAACAGTGTTTTCTACAGTAAAGTCAATTTATTTCCTTAATAATCGTGAAGTCAAACCGTGACTTTCTTTTAGAAACGGAGGGAGTACTTTTTTGTAGCATAAATTACTCTTCAATGTGAAAAGTAAAACACTAGTAACTTGTAACTTAAATGTGGTTAGATTACCCAATGTCACTTCCCACCAGTAGTGGGTTTGGAATTCAAGTTTTGGGAGTTCAATTCTTTTATACAACTAGAAATTTTAAGAGTAATAAATAATCATGTTAAATTTACACATAGATACCTACATGTTTTTCAAATAATAACAAGGTGTTCATGTGAACACTTTAGAACCAATGTGGCTATGCCACTGCTTCCCACGCATGTTTTCGAGCATCAAATGAAAATCAAAGAACCCTTAATCACAAAATAAAACTTCAGAAATTTGAGTTAACATCAATTTTCTTACAAAACAAGTGCTTAGAATTCAGAGTAACAGATACACAAACAGAACCTGTGGAGTTAAATTCACCTGATAAACTACTGCAGTTATTCACGGAATAGAGCAGCCTAGCTACCTTTGGGGTCCCCAAAGACAATTTTTGCTTTTGGAGACGCACGAGGGAAGGAGGTCATCTCCCTTGTCATTTTGAAAGCCACAGAGGCATCAATGCCTACCGATTCCATAATAAAAACTTCCTCAAGGACAGGAGACTTTGAAAGGATTGCTTCAATAAAAAGCATTTCTCCTCTTAATCCTCTGAACTCTTTCATCTTCACCGTTTTAAGCTTGCACAGATCTTGATCATTAAACAAACTTTCTGGATCTTTCAAACTAGTTGGATCAGGGCATTGAAATTCTCTGCCATATATCATACAATGCTACAACACAACAATGTAAGAAGAAAATATTAAAACATAAATTATATGGATATTAGTCACCAAATGTGTAGGGTAAATGTTGGATATTCAACCCTATATTCCATCGAATTTATTTCCAGTTTGTGTAGCTTGGGGCATTTCCGGAGCAATTGAATAACAAGAGTGATGCACTTCGTGTGAGCAAAACTGAAATTAGTCAACTTAATCACTTGCAAATTTGTAGCAATGGGGAACCTCTCTTGCACATTTATTGCAGCAGTAGCTTTGTTCTTTATTACAAACTAGTAAACTCACCCGTGCGATGCACGGTTTGAGAATTTTTCTTTTGAATTTATGTGTGCTTAGTAATTCAAATCACGCTCTCGATTGATGACAACATTATCTTCATGTAATACAGATATACATCAAAGCATTAAACGAAACACACTTATAATATATTATTATGGTCAAAATGAGATTACTAAGAATTACTTAAAAGATAAAAAACATCCAACAAATATGTTGAAACCATAACATTGTAAATATGCATTGAAATCGATGTGCTCACAATACTAAATCATTACTTCCGGGTACTTCTTATTGGCCTCCATCCATGCTGTAAACATACTGTCCTTAACTGAACATGCCCAAACCACTGAATCCAGAGGCTGATCATCGCGAAAGACAACACTTTGTTCTTCCGGCAAATGAAAGATCAAAGGTTCAACTGTCGGGGTCTTATATTGAATTTGAAACCCAAATATGCGCCAAGCAGCCTCACACGCAGAAATGTATCTATAGTCATAGTACATCTGTATCTCATCGACTGATCGTGCATTGCACGGTTAACATTTGAAGTTGTTAATAGGAATGCTTAGGAATCAACACATTTTAGCTCTCACTAACTTATGTCAAAATCATTTCTTTTAGTAAAATGGTTCGCTAGTAATTCACCTTGCGATGCGCAAATGATTTTGCCTTTTTTCATTCTCAAAGGTTTATAAAAAATAATTGAAGGTAAATTATTTATAACGACTAAGTAATAGGGTGACTATAAATTTACACGAATTGCATTTTTTTAGGCGAAATGTCTTTCTATATAAGTAAAATAAGGGAGTAAAATATGTGAAAGTGTGTTATATCATTCTTGAATTATACTTGAATCTAAATTTGTGGGAAAATGTTCAAATAAGTGCTTCTACTATTTCTAATATCCAAATATGATCTGGTCTGGTTTGTTAAAGTTTGGTTTGGTATTAGGCTGAAATAAGCCTAAGTATAAACATCTCAAGTAATATGGTGACTGTGCATTTATACGAATTGCATTTTTACACGAATTGCCCGGGTAAATTGGCAAATCAGGGGTTGTACGAATATGTGAAAGTGTTTTATGGCATTATTAAACAATACTGAAATACGAACGCCATTTATATTATTGATTTCTAGTATAATACCTGTGCGATGTATGGTCAAAGAATAATATTCTCTAAGAAAATACTTACACATGTCATCCTTTTTTATTTGTCAAACACTATTTTCCAAGTCAATGATGTCAACTTTAACCGAATATATATTTATACACGTGTTATATTGATAAAATTAAAATCATATGAAAATGTTCCTTGTTCAAAGTATTATCATAAAAGTATAAATTTATTAAGTTTCACAAACATATACTCCCTCCGTCCCATGGAGAAGTTCCCAGGTTGACTTTCACACATATTAAGGAAATAAAGTTACTGGGGGGTAAATTTTACTGTTTGGCACTGTTTCGACACTGTTTGGCACTGTTTCGACACTGTTTTGCACTGTTTTGCACTGTTTGGCACTGTTTTGATGTAGAATAACTTTCCATTTAGGGAAATGGAAACTTCTTGTTGGGACTGCCAACAAAGGAAATTGGGAACTTGTCCCTGGGACGGAGGTAGTATTAGTTATAATAAATCAAAGTTTATTATCTTTGACTGAAAAAATCAAAGATGGCTAAATAAAAGGGGACGAAGATAGTACAAAATCAATTATATAAATATGTCTTCACATAATAATGTAATGTAATATTGATCATGACTAAAAATATATTTTTTCAACAACGAACAACTTTCCGTCTTTGACTTTTATTTAGAATCATGATACACTAAGAGTTCGTTTGATATAGCCCATTTGATACCTTCAGATCCGAGAATCCACAAATTCGACTCTGCATTGTTCACAAAATTTGAGTTTATCTTTGTTATCTCGGATAACTTGATAATTTTCACACGCGCAAATTTCACTTTTGATAGCCCAAATATTCTTTCACAAAATAATCTATCATTTTCTAGTTTACTTGCTTAAACAACAACCAAAAAATTAGAACAAATTAGTCTTCCAAATCACCACCACTACTCCGGTAGATGTATCATTTATGTGTATTTCTTAATTGTCAGAATCTGATCTCATATAATGTGTTTATGCTTAATATGAGACTCAAATAAGTAAAAAATCGATCTTGAAGAGACCAAATCATGTGGAGAATTCTAGAAATTCTTCACCGCCCTCTGTACCCAATTATTTTATGCCGAGTACTACATAGTATCTCATATTCTCACCGCTCTCAATACCCTAACTTTCCATGTGTCACCTACTTCCCATTTTTTCATGCCCCTCCTCTTTCTCCCACCTCCGCATTTACTTATCCTTAATTACCAAGCCATCAAAAAGTAGGAGTCTGCGATCCCTGTTCGTAGAGACCGACGGTAGACATGGCTACTCAGACTTTCCTGTAACTGCATCTCAAAGTTATCATCGAGGGAATTCTTCCTCTTCGACAACAGACTATTCGTTCGTGCAGCTATTAATTTCTATCGCAATGGTAAGAGTAAAAACTAACGCATGCTACACGGATCAATTGTTTACGAAAAAGTACTCCGTATTTTGTATTGAAATTTTGTTGACTGATGCTAACACCCAGAAAATCATTATGCCACAACAGATCTAATAGATCTACAATTTCTTAATCCCCCTTCCCCTATTTTCGTAATATGTATATAGTAGTTTTTTTTAAAGAACACTGTAGACTTGAGGCAGTTGAGACATTACTCTGTTTAGAAACACGATCTAGCATCTACGGGAAACTGCTTTGGGAGTAAGTGTGTTCTTATGAAATCTAATTTTATAAAAATGTTTTCAAAAAATAAATTAGAAAAAATTGCATAGACTAAAACAATTGACGGTAAAAATTTAATGTTGTAGAAGAATGAAAGTTAGTCCATAACTACACCACTTACGATGACAAACGTATGCATTTATAATAAATATATACTCCGTACTTGTTTATTTTCCATACAACATGTAATATGTAATCTTCGAATAGGATATATGGAGTTTATTCTATGACTATGGGTTATGACTTAATCCTGAACAAAATATGACACTTCATTGAACTGTACGATGATTTTTGAAAACTAAAACCTAATGGCTGAACAATATATGGAACTTTTTTTCAACTTCCTTTAATATGTGAAATGTGAAACTTAATGATAGATGAATCCAAGTATAGGCCTTCACTGAACTTTATTCTGATTTTTTAAGCACAAAGCCACACATGAACAAATAGTCTACTCACCACTTCGGTGATAGCCATTTTTATGGGGCTTGGGTATAATCTCATAACACCCACTTCACTCCTATATATGTTCAATTATAATCTAATTGTATCTTTCATCATTAAGCAAGTACCTATGATTCATAACTTGTATTCCATAAATAAAAGCATCATGAATATAAATATGTGGACTCTTTTGCTGCACATAGTATATTGTATATATGCATAAAGAGAAACATCAGCACTTGATTACACATACTATATGACCAGCACAATGATTCTTCGCAACTTCCATTGAAGAAATCTTGGTTCCCAGTAGCCTATGAAGGCAATGCAGCTCCACTTGGATGGAGAAGTTATCATATACCACATTTCTTCTTTCTTATCCACCAAGGATCATGTAAGCCATTATTTGAGTGATAAAAGTAGTGCCCGTGTATTACAACCATATACGAAAACTATATATATTATTGGTTTCTATTTTTGCTATTCCAGCTAAAACGCCGATCCGAAGTTAAAATTATTACTCTCGAGTGAGCTTTTTATAGGTGAACAAATCACCAGCAATATGGTGGAATGGCATGGGCAACTGTCATGCCTCCGTTTTCCACCAATAAGAATCACGCAAGGCAATTAATTGAAACGAATTATAGCAAACATTGTTGTCCGCCCGTTTAGACTAATAGGATAACTTCAAAATAATTTTCAACTGTTCACACCTCTCACAGCGTCCAATGGCAACGGCGCAATAAGAATGGGGAAAAGTAACGCATTTGGCAATCACACCTCCATTTACCCTTTACCCTCACTACGTACTTTTTTGCCAATAAAAACAACGCACTCAGACAACGACAGATTTCAGCGGGAACACTGTTCCCTCAAGTTCTTTTGCTTTTAGATTAAGGTAGATTCAAAGACAAAACAAAAAACAAAACAAATTCAGTAGATAACCTTGTATGAAACAAGAACTTTAACAAGATAAGGAAAAAATCTGACCAGTCACCACTATTCATTCTATATGAAGCAAGAATTTATTTAAGGCAAGATGCTCACATATAATGGACACACAGAAAAACGGAGAGTCTCAATCACTGGAAAGTGAAGCTCAAAGAATTTCCATTCAGCCACGATCCTAGTAGCAAAGCTCAAACATTTAAGTTTAGGAGCACTGATCACAAAATGATTTATCCCATCACAATCAAAAAACACCAGTATCTCAAGATGAGGAATACTCGGGAGAATTCCAGTATCATTGGGCTTAAACTCCATAAAATGGAACTTTAGAGAAGTGACCCCATAAAACATACTAGCTGGTTGAGTATTAACAGGCCAACAAAAATACATATAACCAAGTTGCAGTTGTTTAATTGTTGGGCAGGAAATTACACAAACAGGCACTGTGTAGTACTCTCCTGTGTCTCCATCAGCATCAATAGAGAGGTGAAGTTTCTCAATACCATTTCTTGATAGAAAACGACACAAGACATCTATATCAGACTGCTTCAGAGCAGGTTCGAATTTGGAAATCGCCAGGGTGAATTTCTTAACTGGTCCAGAACGAAGCAATAGAACATTAGTTATCATTTTCAAACATATATTGCCCCCTAAAAGATCTCCCAAATCCCAATCAAAAACAAGCCGACCATGTCTTAGCCAAACGTCATTCCACTGTTTTGACAGAACGGCAGTTCTTGCCACTTCTCGAGTGTTTAGACACTCTAAGATTCTGTGCTTGATATCTTCTGGCAGTTGACTTATGAGATCCGAAGCAGTGTTGCTTCGAAGGCGAGGATGACTAGCCATTCGACCTAAAACAGCTCGTAAGCATGTAGAGTAAGAAACTCCGGAATTGAGAATTTCGAGCTGCGGTAAAACTAGCTCGCTCGGTATAGATTCCCGGACTTGGCAGCTTTACACACTATCCGCCATCCGGTGTGCTGTGTGCACTTTCAGGATAAAGGCAGTGTATACAGTGTACTTAATGGACCGTATTTTCCAGAGAGAAGCAAAAAGCCGATAGACTCATGTTCGTCAACCCTTTTTACATACGGAGCATATAATTTTGACCATTTGTAAGCTGCATTACCCCTAAATCCTCACTTCTCATTCTTCATATCATCTTTTTTAATTTGTGGGGTATATTTAGATATACTCCGTATATTTTAGAGTTTACGTTATATGAGTATAATCTAAAAGGGAAAAATAATTAAAATATCCAAAACTTTGAAGGGGTTTGAGAGGATCTCCAATGCTAGAATGTGCACGGTCCACATGTGGCATAAGTGATAGTCACATAAATATTAGCAAATAAATTATCCATCTCTTTATTTGAATGATTTTATACAGTTGTGTTAAGTTTTTCCCTACAATGTCAACATCTAGACGATCTCTTTGACATTGTGGAGAAAAACTTACCAAAACTGTATAAAATCATTCAAATAAGGAGAGAAATAATTTATTTATTACTCTCTCCATCTCATTTATATTGTCCTGTTTTACCTTTTCGGAAAGTCCCACTTAAATTGTCTCATACCATATTTGGCAAAGTTTGTGTGGCTCTAAATCATTCTTACTTTATTCTTACTTTATCAATTAATATCAACCACACAAACTCACTTTTCTTAATAACTGTGTCACCCTCTTTCGAGACAATATAAGTGGGACGGAGGTAGTAATATTTATGTGGCTATCTCTCATGCTACATGTGCACCGTGCACATTGTACTATTGGAGATGCTCTGAGATGAAACCCTAAACTTGCATATGTAATTTAAATACCTCAAATTTTAAATAAAAGTTATTTTAGCACCATAGTGAAGTATTATTTCTTTCAAAAATGTAAATTATGGTGTTAATTGCATAATTTACCATATTTTAGAATTCATGAAGGCACAATTAGCATTCTTAACTTCCACTGCGAATTAAATAACATTACCCCCAATTTATATAATTGCAACACGTTTAATTTTCTATTTTAAATTATGCAATTAACGCCATGAATTTACATTTTTTAAAGAAACAATACATGAAAATAGTGCGAAAATAACTTTTTATATAAAGTTTGGGATATTTAAATTACAAATATAAGTTTAGGGTATTTACCTTACACCCCTTCAAAGTAGACCTATACAAAACCGGGCCGGCCCGCCCGGCCCGCCCAGCCCGCCCGCACAAATTAGCGGGCTTGGGCATATATATTTACCCACCGGCCCGGCCCGTGCCCGGCCCGCAACAACATATGGGCGGACTTGGGTTAGGGTGTAGGCCCGTTCGGGCCGATAAGCCCGGCCCGCTACATTTAATATATATACATATATATTTTTATATATACTAGTTTATGTATTTATATACATGTACACATGTATATTTTTATATTTACTAATTTATCTGTATACATATTTATAGTTTATTATGTTTAAATTTAAGTATTTAGTTCTTAACAAATAGTCCAACCAATATAATATCTATTTTTGTACTTAACGATAATACTTTGTGCATGAATTTTAAATTTTAGATATAGTTTCTCATTATTATTTTTGTGTAAATATTTTTTGTGTATGTGATGAAAGGCCTATATACATTATAAGCGTATTAGCAATTTTTTAAATGTTGTAATATTATTTATAAAGTATTAAATAAATTATATAATTTTGAAAAATTTAAAGTCTTCCCGGGCCCGGCGGCCCGGTGGACTACCCGGCCCGCTCTTACGGGCGGGTATGGACATGGGGTTAGGCCCGTTTTTGCGGGCCAGGCCGGGCCCGCCCACACACGATGGGCAGAAAACTTATGGAAAGCCCGGCCCGAGCCCGCTTTTGTACAGGTCTACTTCAAAGTTTGGGGTATCTTTATTATTTTCCCCTATCTAAAATTGATTCTCGTGAACTCCAAAAAAACTCAAATTGAATGACTATTTCAATAAAAAATAAGCATCTTTCTCTTCAAACTGTTTTAGTCATATTTCTGAAACTTTCCCTTTATTAATATTGAATGCCAAACGATTGTTCGGAAAAATTATAAAGTGTGTTTTCACTTCTTTCTTGATGGAATATTATACTGATTGATGCACTTGTATAATACTACGTATGTTGATATCATAGTTCAAAAAATCGGTCTAGTCGGTCCAATGAATCAACGACTAGGCGCTAGACGGTCCCTAATCGTGGAGGAATAATTAGCTAGTCGGTCAAAAAAATTGGCCTAGACTACACCTAGTCGGTGCCTAGGGTCCCCGAATCGCCCGACTAACATCTAGTGAGTTTTAGAACAGAGTGATATACTAGTGTGTATGATTGGTTTTCCTTGAAAGTTTTTGTCATTAGATTCTCTAATCTATTGTTTTATATAGTAAAACTAAGTTATGAATAGCTTATTAGTTAATAAGTTACTCCCTCCGTCCCATTTATATTGTCCCGTTTTACCTTTTTTGGAAGTCCCACTTAAATTGTCTCATACCATATTTGACAAAGTTTGTGTGGCTCTAAATCATTCTTACTTTATTCTTACTTTATCAATTAATATCAACCACAGTGTCACCCTCTTCCGGGACAATATAAATGTGACGGAGGTAGTATTAACTAGGGAAAACTGTCAAATAAGTCCACGTACTTTGAACGAAAAGTCAATTGAGTCCACATACTTTTTATCAGATCAATCAAGTCCGCGAACTATTAAAAAATGATCAAATCTACTATTTAGCAGGTAGCTAACCGGTTACCCGGTCACTTGCTTACGTGGAAGTCCCATCTGTTACATTTTTATTGTTTTCTAATTTTTCCATTTTTCTTTTCTTTTTCTTTTTCCTCTCTCCCTTTTTCTCTTTTCTTTCTCTTTTTTCTTTTCTTCCTGTCCGCTGAATACGCTCCCTCTTCCCAGTCTGCAGCTCTACCATTTCCATTTCTTTCTTTCTTTCTTTCTTTCTTTCTTTCTTTCTTGTCTCCACCAGAAATCCATTCACTTTCTTCCATTTTTACTCCCTCTGCCACCTTGGAACGAACTCCGTTTCCCAGACCTCTCAAGCCATGCACCACCTCTGCCGCCAGGCCTCCATAGCCACCGCATCTGGTCACCACCACATCCGGCCTCCACCTCCACTTCCGCCGCCCCTCCTACACACCGCGCGCCTCCGGCCACCACCTCTGCGGCGTCCACCTTCACCTACTCTATTGAAGCAACCTCCAGCCGCCCCGACCTCCATAGCCACGACCTCCGCCGCCCATACCTCCGTACACACCGCCTCCGCCCTCCGGCTGCCATCTTCGTGGCCTACCCCCCCCCCCCCCCCCCCCCCCGCCTCTTCCACTAAAGCGACCTCCAACGACTCTGGCTTCCATAGCCGTCTCATCAAGTGAATCGAACTCTGCTCCTCAGCCTCCATAGACTGATAGATCGAGAAGTAAGCAGATGGAGTGACGTTGCAGTCTGGCAGAGTTGCAGACACGGGGACGAAACAAGGAAAGAGAAAAGCAAAAGAAATAGAAAAATAAAAAATGAAAAGAAAAGAAAAAAAATAAAATATAAAATAATAGAAAATTGAAAGAAAAAAGCCAAATGGACGTTACAACCGGAGAACTAGCTAAATAGCCAATTTGATTATTTTCTAATACTTTGCGGACTTAATTGATTCATTAAATAGTACATGAACTCAATTAACTTTTTTCCAAAAGTAGATGGACTTATATGACAGTTTTCTCTATTAACTAATAAGCTATTACTCTTACTTGACGGTTAATCACTTCACGGTTAACCATAAATAACTCCACTCTTAATGGCTAATTTATACTTCCTCCGTCCCGCTATGATTGTCCCATTTTACCATTTCGATCCGTCCCACTAAGATTGTCTCGTACCTTATTTGGTAAAGTTTGTGTGGTTCGAAATCATTTCAACTTTACTTTTACTTTATCAATTCAATATCAACCACATAAACTCACTTTTATTAATAAATGTGACACATTCTCTTGTCTCAAACATAGGGGCGGTGGCAGGTAACAAATAAATTGACATGCACCGAAAAGCAGGTACAATTCATGAAAAAACAAGTACGATTAAATAGCTTCACTCGTGATAGCTAATCAATAGGTACTAAAGAAATAAAATAACACGCAGCAAGTAGGATTCTGCAATTATCACCTATTATCAAGTTACAATTTATGGCCAATTACATCATTATTCAATCTTTTCAATATAAGTTTGGATGTTTTTAATCGGATTGAAATTTTCGTCTGAACGGATTAGATCTGATCTAGTAAACGTCTGATCTTTATGTATTTTATAGATGTTCAAATTTGATATGGTGTGATCTAGTCATGGACCCGGGCCGGGCCGGTTCCGGTTCCGGGCCCGGCCGGGCTTTTTTTTTGGGAAGGAAGGCCCGGGACCGGCCCGGGTAGCCACCGGGTCCGGTCCGGGTCCGGGCCGGGCCGGGCCGGGCCTCCGGTTCGGTTATAATTTTTTTTTTTTTTTTTTTTTTTTGCTTTCCTAACCCCCCCACTCACGCCCACACCCCCACACCCCCCCAAACCCCTCCTAACCATCAAGCCCAACTTGGCTAACCCCAAAAAAAGAAAAAAAAATTAAAAAAAAATCAATTCGGCCCGGGCCCGGGCCCGACCCGGCCGGGCCGGTTCGCCAAATTCAAGGCCCGAGCCCGGACCCGGCCACCCCACCGGGCCTAGGCCCGACCCGGACCCGGACCCGAGAACCGGGCCGGTTCCGGGCTCGCACAGTGGCGGGCCGGGCCGGTCCCGGGCCGGGCGGCCGGAACCGGGTCCATGCCTAGTGTGATCTGATCATCTGAGATTGAAAATAGTCGAAAATAGCTAAAGTGACCTTCTACAATAACTTATGCCAATTTAGCCGAAAAGTAACTTCGATCTTACTTATTTTGATTATTATAGTGCACAAAATCAAAAGTTACATGCTTGTTAAAAATGTTTGCTACTAAGATTGATAAGCCGAAAAACAAGATCACCAAACATAATGTAAATTTTCTAGATTTATAGTCCTTATTGAATTATTCCATCTGTCCAAATGACTTTGTCAATTTTATTTGATAAAAAATAATAAAGTTAAAATTATATAATTTAGATTTATTCAGATGAGTGATAAATATCATGAACCAAAAATTAACTGATGGTAAGTAAAATGATAAAGTTTTTCAGACAATAAAAAAATGAAAGATGACAAAGTTATAAGAACAGAGAAAATAAAAATACTCCATCTAATTCTCGGACAAGTACTCACTTTGATTTTACGGTTTTAAGAAAGTTAAATTTTTGCTTTTAAGTTTCTCATTATACCTTTAAAAAAGGAAAGAGTAAGAGTAGGTGAAGTAAAAAGTGGGTGCAAGAAGAGTAAATTAAGAGTCTCAGGGTCATTTTATAATAAAAACTTATAAAATGGAAGTCAAATAGTGCAAAACAATTTGCACCCCCCCGCCCCCCGCCCCAACCCCCAACATAAATTTCTTAGGTCCACCCCTGCCCACTTTCCTTTTCACCCCCTTATAAATATCTCATATTCTTACAATGTCAACGGTATCTAAAAAGTGTCATTTTGGGGATGAAAGTCAAACAGGACGTTTTAAATTGAGACGGAGGGAGTATATACTACATATGGAAAACCTACACGGCAGATAGAGTTATGACTAATACTTGTACTCCAGGAAGAGAACTTGGGCTTTTGGGGATGAACGAGGAGAGCACAGAATTTCCACTGGGATTTCCAAAGCCACCTGACCGTGGGGTGCTTTCGTGATAACAAGTTCCTCAAGGGCAGGTGAGTTAAAAAGGATTGTTTTAACAAATAGCACTTCCAGTCTATATCCATGAAATACACTCATCTTCACCGTTTTAAGCAATTGCAGTTCCTTTTTAATAACAAAGCTGTTGGGATACTCCAAAATTCTGGAAGCATCTTCTTCTTCATAATCTCCTTGACCGTACTACGTACAACAAAAGGAAAAGAGAAATAGAAAAGGCACATGCCTGAGAGGTCAGAAACTTGGTGAAAATGATAAACACAAAATCATAATCCCCAAATGAATAGTTAAAGTAAAGGGGTCTTACATAATTCCCTGTCTCAATACGAAGTTCACATAGCTTTGGACATTTCTGAATCAATTCAATAACAAAAGTGAAGTGCTTTGTATAAATAAAATCGACATTATTGATCACAAACACTTCTAGATTTGTTGCACTTGGGAATGTCACTGCAGCTACTGCATCAGGCATATGCTTTAAAAAAAATAACCAAATACAACAAAAATTAACATTGGGACATCCTTAACAAGCCAGAATGAAGATGCATAAAAAACAAAACTGTATATTTCATTTTCTCATCTGCTTAACAAAGTGTATAGAAGGAAGAAGTAAGAGATTTATTCTTACCCACAACAAATCTGCTTGCAAATGAAGAGTACTGATTACTGTAAAATGAAGCACAAACCATCTGGAATCAGTCAGATTTTCATAATTATAGTTAGTAGTCAAGCACTTAAGCTTTGGCGCGTTAATCACAAAATTATCAATCCCAGCACAGTTTTCAAAAGAGAGCTTCTCAAGATTAGGGACATTATAGACTGTTCCAGTGAGATCAGGCTGAAATTCAATATACTCAAAAACCAATGAAGTGACGCCAGGAAACACACTATGTGAATTAGCAGGGAAGCCAAAAACAAACCCACCAAGTAGGAGTTGTTTAATTGTAGGGCAAGTGATTATACAATCTTGGAGTTTATATGTTCGGCTGCAGTTATCAACAGAGATGCGAAGTTCCTCAATGCCATTTCTCGATAGAAAAGTACACCAACGATTTATATAAGCTGGTAGTGGCAGAGGAATAAATACATAGAGACGCTGCTGCTCACCCTCTGAAAGTCCCAGTGTAAATTTCTTAACGGATCCCATCCGGAGCATGAGGCATCGATTTATTATTTCCATGTAATCTACGGGTTCATCTTCAAAACCGACTGGTGGAAAATATGAGAAGAAGTCATAATCAAAAACCAGATGGCCGTGAGCATACCAGACATCCTTCCAGTGAGTTGAAAGCATAGCCATTTTGGCAGCTTCACGTGTGCTCAGCAACTCTAGAATTGATTCCTTCAGCTCTGCGGGTAGTTGACTTATGTAGTCATTTCTTACACCTGATGTGGTTTTTCTTCTACAAACACTGGCCATTACACTGATAAAGAACAATGTAGTACGCATTTGTAAATGAACTTGGTGCAAATCACAGTAATCCGCATTAGTTACTATTTAGTACACATTCACAGCCGGTCAAGCAAATAAATTATGTCACATACTTGCATAAACTTAACCGCATGATTATTACATCTGTTTGCTAATGGAGTAATAGTCTACTTATACTTTTTAATTAGACAAGTACTTTAGGAAGGAGTGTAGTTGATAATGTGATATGCAAATCTTAAGGATAATATTGAAAGGATGATTGTGCGGAAATTGTTTATGAGGATATAAGTTCTTTTTTAACCATTAGGCGTTATACAATGGAAATTTTTACATTTTTAACTGTATTTCATCTTTTACAAGCCAATACACAGGAGGGTTAAGATATTTTCAATCCTGTTATAGGTAAGGTTTCCAATGAGAAGTTAAAATACCATCAAGCTAATGGGCCAAATCGGTCTGTGGCATGTATTACATCATGCGAACAAAGGACCGCCAAGAATCATAACATTGACAAAAGTTTAGCGCTAAGTGTGCTTGATGAACAAAGAACAATAAACATTCATATTTCAGTTCATTAACTAATTTGTATTGCCAATTGCCATGACCTTAAATTTCATGGATTACAAATCAAGCAAATTCAAAACGAAAAATCAAAGTATGCCGCCTAAAATGTTGAGAGGATAAAACTGATGGAGTTGTGGTGATGACTGAGATGGTAAAACTAAAAAGATAACCGAAACAGACCTGGTTGTGTATATTCGGAAAAATACAGGACGTCGCCTGCTGTTGAAGGCGTCGTGCAAAGTGGAAACCTTTGACGCAGTTTTTTTTTGCCTTACTTAACCCGTGGAATGGTAGCTAATTTAGGTTTGCTATTTTTAAAAAAACACTTCGCTTTTGATTTTAAAAAAGCATTTATTTTTCCAAACACTACAACTTTTATTTTTCTTGGCTCCCGCTTCAAAAGTGCTTTTACTTTTTCTATTACACAAAAAACACTTATTTTACCAAACACTATCCACTTTTACTTTTCAAAATCACTTTTTTCTCAAACACTACCAACTTTTATTTAATCATTTCTCCTCATTTCATTAAAAAAAGAACTTTTTTAAAAGCAGAAGCTGTTGCAAACAGACCCTTAGCACCTTTCCACTTTTCAGTCTCATCCTTTATTCAAAAAATTCAATGTGGGCCGTCTTCGTAATTAAAAATTTTTCAAAGTAGGTAGATTAAGAATATTGAAAGAGGATATGAATTATTGAAGGTATGATAGGAAGATAGTGAAATAATTTGAAAGAATATAGGATAAATTCAAAAAAAAGTTGTAATAGTGTATTATTTTCAGAATTATTGAGGGTATGATGAGAAAATTTAGAAATGAGAAGATTTTTTTGTTACGGACGAAAAAGAAAAGTAGGAAGATTTTTTTGTTATGGAGGGAGTAAGACATATTATCTCAAAGTTGAACTCTTCACCTGATCTGAAGTTTCTGATCTGAATTTTTTAAGTTATGATTTGAATTTTTAAGTTATGATCTGGTCTTATCTGCATCTTTCTGATCTGATCTGATCTGAATCTTTCTGGTCGTATCTGATCTGAATCTTTCTGATCCGATATTATCTGAATTTTTCTGATCTGATCTGATTTGATCTGAATAAAATAAGAATAAGCAATTAGTAGTAAGTAATAAGAATAAGACGAACATAGCATCTTCTAAATCTAAATAAAATTGCACATATAGGAGTTCAAAATTAAATCTTTCTGCCAAGCAGCTTGTGCTTGAATGATATCACTATGATACTCCCAAGAAGGAGGTCAAAGGTTCAAAACTATCTCTGTCAAGGATTATAGCAAAATTAACAGATACTACGAGAAAGAGAAAGTATGGCAAAATTAAATCATTTTATAATAGGATTATTATACTTTTTTCATGAATATTATTAAATTAAATTTAGAAGATAAAAATTATGACTTATTAAAAAAAACGACATATTTAGTGACTAGTTCTTAGTGACTTATAATTTACAGGTGACTTGTTACTCTAAAATACATTAAAGTGACTCATGTTCAGTTACTTGTACATAGTGACTAGATGTATTTTTATTCAATTAATTGCTCTATAATTAATTGCTCTTAAGATTCCTTACATCACTAGAAATTTTTGACAAATCGGCGGTGTGACAAATTAGAAAGAAGTGTGGCCGGCTAGCGGTGTCATTAGGGTTTGTAGTGGAGGCGATCTGGTAGAGTTAACATGATCCAGTGACTATCTCGCTAGACCATAGAAGTAGTACTACAATGACTAGATTTTGTAATGGATGCAGTGTGCCTATTAGTAACTAGTTTTTGTGATCACAACAAAATACAAAGGGTTTGTTGTGGATGTTGTTGCGGGTTCTTTTGTAAGGAGGGGGGTATTGAATGAGTTTGTTATAGAATTTTGTCATCGAAAAAATCTGTAACGCGGTAACGCCTACGGCGTCACAAAACTTGGTTAGGGAAATAAGATTTGTAACAATGTTTATTAGGGCATCCTCATTGTTAGGATTATTGAGGGATCAAATTAGTGACGTGGCAGATTTTTTAGAGAAGTATCATTGGGAGACATTGATTATTTAATGAGATTATTTGTTAGAATAATCCGGGATCAAAATATGAATCCGGATTATCTTAAGATTATTTGAAAAGTATGTGTAATACGTTAATGTCGGACGGAGAAAAAAGCGGATTATTTGAAGATGATGGTTGGGAGGCATAAATGGATTTTGAGATTATTTAAAAATTAATTATGTAAGAATATTTAAAAGGCAAGAATGCTAGAAAATATGATTTTTATGGGATTAGGAATGGTGATGCTCTTACGGATTTGTTAGTTCGAAACCGTAACAACATTTAAGATTTAACCGGCCGGCGGTGGGTTTTGTTATAAAAGTCATTCGTAACAAAAGTAAATATTTTTTTTAAATTCAAATTTTGTTACAGATTTTAGCCATAGCAAATATAGCGGGTATGAGGTCCAAAGTTAAACTTTTTGCCTCTAAGCACTCCATTGTATAAAGACTACTAGTATCTTTACTCGTGCCCGTGTATGGGTTAGAATGATTTTTTTAATTATACTATGTGTGCTTATGCACTCGCACTTATATATGTATATATGTGTAGTCATAAGTAACGGAAAGTCATGTATTTAGTCGATTATAACATCGTTTGATAATAATGCATATTCTTATTTATTGAGAATGTCTTATTTTCTAACTAAAAATTTAAACATGTTCTTAATCAATATTTTCCAATCAAAAGAGCCAATTTTCTATAACTCTAATTGGTTGCATCCAAATGAACATCATTTTTTCAAGCATTTTTATCTAAAAAATTGCTCAATGCCTATTTTTATCCATTAGATTTCATCTTAGCTTGCTGTTTTTTCAAAACTAATAACTACTCATTTTTGTAATCTATTAATTTAATAATCGGTATGATCAATTTTTTAAGATATTAGCCTTTCTATTATTTAGGATTGAGAAAATTAGTTTGTCTACCTCCCTCTTTGATAAAAGAGTTTAGAATAAACTACGTATATATAGTTTTGTGACATTCTGATTTAATGAAGGTGATGGCGGTGACAACAGACCGATTGCATTAAACGATTGTAGCGATCGATCTATGTTTCATTAGATTGACTCAATATGGTGAAAAAGTTTATCCCCCAATTGAAGATGGAAGAGTCAAAAAGAAATTAAATGAAAAGAGATACTCCATCTGTCCTAAATTGAGTTACTAAATGGACTTTTTGAGTCAAATAGATTCATTTTATTCACTTAATTAGGATATTAATTCTTAAATAGATTTTAATTGAGATTTTATAACTTTATAGAGAATTTGGTGTAGTTTCTAGTATGTAAATTTTTATTCAAAATTGAATTAATTATCAATAGGGAGGATTCAACTATTACATTGGTTGACAAAAAATGATGACTTTACAAAACAATTTGGGACGGACGTAGTAATTAATTGAGAGTATTTTTGGGGGGAAATTAGGCCATTCCCGAGAATGTCAGATAATCTAATACATGGATGAGTTTAACATTCTCCTCAGAACTGTAACTTTCCCGAATTTTTATAAATCCCGCGAACCAACCATGGACATCTAACATCTTATGCATCGCATTCCGGTCTTCATGTGAGATTACCCTAAACCAAACATGCCCTAAGACAAATGTGTATTTTGCAAATTCTAACACATTGAGTCTTATTTTTTACCCGAGTAAAAGATATTTTATTTCTTGTTTTATAAACTATGTAGAATGTAAGAAAAGTATTTAATGGTGCCGCTTCTGCTCCATGATATATAAAGAGGGAAGGTTACTAAAAAAGATGTCGACATATAATTCAATAGACATAGCACCCGGTACTTAGCTTGTGTAAAAAATTATACGAAACATTTTTGGACATCAATGGTGGTATGAGACAATATAATCAGTTTCATTGATGTCATATTTGCTACTTCAACCAAAAAATATGATGAAGTAAAAAATGAATGCGTGGATATGGGCACCTTTCAAATAAAACTTAAAGAACGCAACCATACAAATCTTAAGCACAATTCAAATGACATCATTTAATTGTGAAAATTAACCAACAAATAAATTCTAGTTTTGTGATTTGGGTGTACTTGCTAAAAATGTAGCATTACTATGGGCTTTCCGAAAGCGTTATCTAGTGCATTGAAATTTTAAACACTTTTACTACTTATGTAATGTACGGTTACACTTCTAGCAAGAGCAAAGTCAGGATTTCTCACTAAGGAAATTCTCTTCATAACTCCTATTGCCTAGATGATTAGAGAAAATAAGTGGTATTCTAAATGGTACTCAATTATATTGTTATTTGCGCTAAAATAACAATTAATGTTTATGAGTTTAATAGGTTCGTGATTAAGAGGAATCAAAGTTAATGACTTTAATAGTTTTAAACTTTAATTCGGAGTGACACCTTAGAATAAAACTGTAAAAATTCTACCGCAAAGAATAAAACAATAAATAAAAGTGATGGAGTCTATGCAATTTTATTCTAAGCTATCACTTAGGATTAAGTGGAAAATAATAAATATCTCAAACATTGACGGGTGTGAGATAAATATGCCCAATCTGCATATGCAATATATATAACACAAACTTTATATAAAAAATTATTTTTTCACCATGATTATATGGTTTTTACAAATATAAATTATTGCAATAAGTACATAATCTAAAGTACTCCAAGCTTTGTTTGGATACAGTCAACAATTTATATAATCATTTATGAATTAAATAATATTACATCCGGTTTCAATATATTTTGGGGTTTTTACAAGAATATTACTAAAATAAAACTTATTACACAAATATGACTATTCATTACTACAACGTAATGTTGTAGTAACTTAAGTTCAAAACTTGAACATGAATTACTATGATTTCATTACTACCCTAGTAAGTAGTCATATTATTATAAACATCTTTACTTTGGTCATATTCATGTAATTATTTCATATAATAATTTTAATTGTGTCCTATCTATAGAATCTTTTTGAATCAACGGCTGAAGATCCATGGACGAGAGCTCTAAACCTAAGGCGGCGCATCCGTCACCGGCACAGCCTCCACCGACGACTGGGAACGTTTGGAATGGAAGTAAAAGATCGTTTGTTTCGGTTTTGCTTAATAAAGAAGACGCCACTCTCTCAGCTACGCAAACTCGTTACAAAGGTATGCCAGCAGTTTCATTTTCAGAGGATGATATTCAAATTCTGGCCGACAAACACAGGCGATCGCTGGTTGGTTATTTCTTTAAAGGGAGG